ATATATATATATATATATATATATATATATATATATATATATATATATATATATATATATATATAGAATAGAATAGAATAGAATTCAACTAACATTCCATGCACATTTTAGGAGCTTTAAAAAAACAAACACAGTGAATCTACAGTGTTCTGTATCAAAGTTGATTTTAAAACATCTCAAATGATTTGCAGAACAATATCCAGTTTGCTTTGCTTTCAGGACTGCAAACATGGCCTTGATTTCTCTCCAGCACATCAAAGTGCAGAACGCGGTCTTCAAACCCAGGCGTACTGTTGAGCAAAACAAATGGATATGCCCACATACTTTTGTCTGTTTGATCTGGACTCAGCTAAAAGCTCTCTTAGAAGGCATCTCATGGAAAGCGACAGCTGATTGGGCACTTTGCTCTACGCCGTGTTGTTTACCCGTGTCCATTTGAGTGTATGTCAGAGTTGGCCCCTAGCATCAGTTTACAAAAACAACATCGAACCTACTTTCCACTCCGTCTGTGCGAGGACGTTTCTGTTGTTCCAATTACATTTGTGTGTTAATATGCACACGGTCTCGAGTGCTCTTCACCAACACAAGAGCCATTGAAAACAACTCAGCATGATTTTACATGCAAAAATATTCATTGTTCAGTATCAGGGCAGGGTTATTATAGTTAACTAAAACTGAAACCATAAAAAAAAAACATTGTTATGTGAAATAAAATAAATGTTAACTGACATAAAATAAACTTTTTATTTCAGTTGCAGCAACATTAGTTGCAACATTTGACATTTTAATTCAGTTTAACTTGATGTACTAAAATAGCTCAAATAAAAATGTACGATAACACGATATACATAAGTATAAAAAAACTACTAAAAACACAACAAAATTACTAAAACTTCAACTAAAATTAAAGTTAAAAAAAGGAAGATGGAAAAATAAAATGATTTCAAAATATTAATATAAACTATAATAGTATCTCAATAGTATCTCAATAAAATGCTGAGCTGAGCTTAGAAAATGGTGCAAATGTTTATTAGAACTAAATAATACAAAATAATTGTCTACAAGCTATAGACAATAAGCATCTACAAGCTAAAATGGCACTAAGACTAAAATAAAAATTAATAAAAAACTACACAGATATGTATGAAAAACAAAAACTACTAAAAATGGCAAAAACGCACAACAAAATGACTAAAACGTTCAAATTAAAATGAAAATGGAAAATATAAAAATAAAAACTGATTCAAAATATGAATAAAAACTATAATAGTATCAAAAATGATACTAAAATAACAGGAGATGAGATTTGACAAACAGTGTGAATGTTATTAGGACTAAATTATACTAATTAATTGTGCATCTAAGCTGAAGCTGCACTAAAACTAAAATAAAAATGACTAAAACTACAGACATGTACTAAAACAACAAACTACTAAAATGACAAAAACACATTACTAACTAAAATTAAAGTGATAAAGTAAAATATAAAAATAAAAAATGATTAAAATTTTTTATTAAAACTCTAATAGTATCTCACTGATACTAAAATAACACTGTACCCGGGAGATGAGCTTTGAAAAATGGTGCAAATGTTTGTTATTAGGACTAAATAATACAAAATAACTGTATTAATTGTGCATCTACAAGCTGAAACTGCACTGAAAACTTAAAAGGAGAACACAAAAAGGAAAAATATGAAATCTCAAAAGGGATATTGAAGAAATCAGGGAATTAATTTATCCGTCCCTTCCAGATAAACATCCCAAATGGCTTTGTAAACAAGCACGCCACGTTTTCCACAGCTAGCCATTACGGAAACACTTCCGGGGTCACCTGTACAGGAAGCTCCAAGGCCACTGCGCCAACATACATTTCAAGGGTTTCCATAGAGACCAGCCAAGAGCTGGGCTGTGAGCTTAACCAAATCATGAAAGGCTCATTTTGTATGGCTTTTCTCTCTCTCTCTCTCTCTCTCTCTCTCCCACACACCCGAGAGAGAGAGAGAGAGAGAGAGAGAGAGAGAGAGAGAGAGAGAGAGAGAGAGAGAGAGAGAGAGACACACCCCCCACAGCAGGGGGAGGCCAACATCCAAGGCCACTGCGCCAACATACATTTCAAGGGTTTCCATAGAGACCAGCCAAGAGCTGGGCTGTGAGCTTAACCAAATCATGAAAGGCTCATTTTGTATGGCTTTTCTCTCTCTCTCTCTCTCTCTCTCTCCCCCACACACGAGAGAGAGAGAGAGAGAGAGAGAGAGAGAGAGAGAGAGAGAGAGAGAGAGAGAGAGAGAGAGAGAGAGAGAGAGGCACACTGCACTGACAGCAGCGGCACTGCAACAGAACACTGATCAATGGAGCCTCAGAGACCCACATGCACACTGCTAGAACACAGCGGTACAAATGGGACCATATTGATTCAAAGAGAAACACTTTTTAGAAATGCTCATTTGAACACAGTTGACTAAACATGCACCACTCAATCAGCCAAAAACCAAATCCCTCTGAAATGATAATCAATTTCATCGATACACCATTAATTGAGGTTAAACGACTGTGTCCATTTCCGCCTTCATCTGAGCCCTGCGGAAAACTGACAAAGCTTGGGAAAAGATCATTCGGAAGACCATCACCGAGCTCCTTGTGCTGCTAAAACATCGCCATGTCCCCCTATTTTTTGTGCATCCTATCAAAACACATCGGCGGTCAGTCTATGTTGGAGTGACCTGGGTCTGATATTAACGTCACACAGTGTTGCTCTGTTAAAACCATCTAAATGGCCCCATTTTCTTCTTGATACCCCCCTCTCACTCTCTCTATTCCACCACAAACACACCCATCCTGATTTAGCCCAGCAACCAGCACCCACTCGCTGTCTCTCCATTTTAAAGCCAACAGCACACTCGCCTCCTGTCAAGCATTTGCATAGAATTTTTTTAGAGGTCAATATGATTCGGACACCCACACGGGGGGAAAAATGTTTGAATAAATATTTTGTGAAAAGGTCACAGTGAAAGCATTCAGTAAAATTAATTTTTTTATTCAATGCTTCAGTGGTTCTTCGTGAAACATGGTGGCTGTCACTATGCCACAATACAACAAATTATAATTCCTTCTTTTTTTTTTTTTTTTAGCTAATTTCCAGGGTTTTGGTGCCCTTTTTTAATTAATAAAACTGCTTTTCCACTTTAATTTTCTAAAATGTTGTGCAGTTTTAAAAAGTATCTCAGCAGATCGATTTGTTATTCTAATGCTTAATATATAAATATGTCCAAGGTCATAATAAAATAAACAAAAGAAACAAATTTGTCTCATCAAATCACATCACATTTGGTCCAACAAGGATGTCAAGATGCATATTTTTTACATTCTTGATGCACTATTTGCATATTAATGCATGCATGTTTTTTTGGATTATGAGCAGTGAAATGTAATAACGTAACTAATCATAAAACAGTCGATTTGAATGCTTATTAAGTAGTCTATTACTGTACTGGTTCCTTCTGAATTACTTGCTCAAATTAATTAGCAATATTTTAAACTAGTAGGGGGAAATTGCATGCATTGAATGTATGATATATGCATTCAAATTATATTAGTACATATTTTAAAAGAATGCACTAATGGTGCTGTGAAATAACGAGACAAATTCAAATGGACCAAAATGCATTATTTTTCAAGCATGCTTAAATGCATTCCTAATGCACTGCACTGTTTCCATGAAGTTACTGCCTGCATAACAATAATAATAATAATAATAATAAAATAAAACGCTACTCACCATTCAAAATGCACTGGAAAAAGATAATGGCCAATATCCACATGCCCCGCTCCTTTCAATCTCCAAACTAAGATTTTTCTTTGCCCACTGCACACTTTTCCTCCAAAAAAAAAAAACCGTTGCGCAGGAATATGAATATCTTGTACTTAGTAGTTCCAGCGGAAGGGATGCATATGAAGCGTGCGCTCCCGGACTGATTGTCTCCGAGCTGAGATCCAGCTGTGGCTCGAGACGGTGAGCGGCGGGCAGGTGCGATGCTGAGTCAGAGCGCTTACCGAGGGCACCGCGCACAGGTGTAGCCGCGTACGAGGGAGAAGCCGCGGGAAAGTAAATCCACTGAATTATTAATGAGTCGAAATCATAGCTGAAACTTTGACAGAAAAGAAAGAAAAAGAACGAAAAAAGAAACGAAAAAGCAAAAACTCCAGCGCGGGAATGGATAGAGATGATGGCTGTTAGCTGGACTCAGAGCAGCATCCCTCTTCACCACCTCGCACCGTCCAGCAGTCAGCAAGCACGCGCATCTTCCCCTGCTGCACTGATCACTCCAGAGCTCAGCATCAGCACCAGAGTATCACACAACACAACACCCCCCTCTCATTCTCTCTCTCTCTCTCTCTCCTCTGCAGCCTTAAAGGTGCAGGGGTGCTGCTCTTAAAGAGAGAGTCCAAGCGCACTAAAGCAACCCTAAGAAACCATGTGATAGTCATGCATATGCAATATATTAGGGTCAATTGTGTGACGCTTATGTTTATTTTCGAGTTTTTAAGTTAACTGGAAAATATATTAAAATGCAAATGTGTGTGTGTGTGTGTGTGTGTGTGTGTGTGTGTGTGTGTGTGTGTGTGTGTGTGTGTGTGTGTGTGTTTGACAAGAAAAAAGGTCTAGGTGGTGTAACTAGCCTATCTGGAGATTGTAAAAAAGAAAAAAAGTCTCATTAAAAGGAAGCCATGTTGGCGTCATGTGACAAAAGAAAGGATTCCTTTAGACCCTCACGGCCTTATGAAAAGGTACACTGAAAAAATGGGATAGAAACAATTTTCACCAAGTAATTGCTAGTACATTTCACAATTAATTACAAAGTAAACGCTTTTAATGAGCACTGAACTAAATGTACAGTAGCATTTCTTGTCAAATGTATACTCCAATAATATTTGTTTATTTACAACTTTGAAAAAACTTTTATTTACTGTGTATGTTTTATACGGGTAAAATTACGTAACTCTTTTTAACTTCATATTCATGACTCCAAAAAATTATTAAATATAAAAAATAATTAAAACATGTTTGGAAAAATTGTAATACATTCTCTCACACGTTTTCACAGTGCCAAGAAAGTATTTTAGTAATTATTGTACTTGATAGTTACACCACTGAACATTTTTAACCATTTTTCTTTTTTAATGGCATGAGCTTTTTCAAAAATGAATGAAACCAACATGACTAACTTCTTGAATTTTAAACTAGATTTTTAAAGCAATTTCCTCCTTTTAATAATCTCATCATCCACATTTGTCATTGATCCATTAGCAATTGCACACCATACAGGTTTAAAATGAAAAATAAACAGCACGGAATGAAGGTAACAGCAACATCACAGTTGTGTATGACAACTTCCTCTAAATGATTTTAATTGGTGGTCATGCATTCATGTCATTTAATGTGGTTTCTGTTAGGATTCAGGACCCCCGAGGGCGTGTGAGTTTTTTTTTTTCATCCTTTAAAGCTGGCTTCATTAATTGACCTTGACAAATCAGAGCATTTGCCTCCTGCGCAGTGAGGCGTTGGGTCGACTCATTACGTTTTCATGAAAAACATTAACCTTTAATTAGATTTGAGTATCCTAATAATAACAGAGTGTACCTGACGTTTTTGAACCATTTGTATCTATATTCTATTAAAAATAAAGAAATAAACAAAATACACAAATGTGATAATACTTATTACTTTGAAAATAATATTGTTGTTATTATCATTTTTAGTCCAGGAATCATTTCAGGATTCTCAGGGATTTAGGATGATGTTTGCATGTGCTTTAGTTCTGTTTTATGCATTATAATATGTTCTTTAATCATTTGGCTCCTATTTTTTGTTTGTTCTGGAGAAAAGCAACAATGCTGATATTATTCATAAGCAACGGTCTAGAATGATGCTTTTGGACAGCATTTTTTTAGGTTTGATTTAAAAAAGAAAAAAAAAGTTTCGCAATAAGTTTAATAACGGAATAAACTTGATGTTTTTGAACCATCTTTATGCCATTAAAAATAAAGAAATAAAAATGTGACATTACTTTGTGTGTGTGTGTGTGTGTGTGTATTACATATAAGTAGTAGTAATAATACTAATGTTCATATTATATATATATATATATATATATATATACTGAATTACAGTCTTGCACTACTGCGCCACACTGGTCAAACTGTGTTATTGCAGGCTCTTACATTAGGTCATATGAGATCAAACGACTGCTCGACGACAAAAATATTTGTCGTCAATTTTTTATTGTTGACGTTGTCTATAATGTCGACTAATCGTTTCAGCCCTTCTTTACTGTTGCTAAATTGCGGGGCATGTTTGATAATAAAACATTGAAAGCACAATAATCCGGGCAAGAGACGCTGTTCCCCAGGCTGAAATGTGTGCGCGCACTGCGCAAACTCCAATAAGGACCGCAAGACAAGCAAATTATACTTTGGGCTTTAGGTGCACGTCCAAGCGATCAAATACACACAAAATATTTCAAAATGGCCAGATTGGGGATTGTTCACTTAAACACAGTTTATGTCTTAAATGGACATGAACAGTTGGGAGAAAATCCGATGTGTGTCAATATACAACAAAATGCAAAGAGAAAATCACTCACAGCTCTCGATCTGAATAACGTTAGCTTTAATAAGCATTGATCTATCAATTCATACATTGAAAACTAAAAATGCCGGCACACTGTTGCATTTACAAATTGATCTTTTATATTCATTTCATTAAATATTTATTTAAATTTCAGAATATAATAATTTAGTAATTTAGCTTGTAATTTGTTTCATATATATATATATATATATATATATATATATATATATATATATATAAAACAAAAGAAATAAACTAGTGTATTTGTGTATCAGAGTGTATTTAATGTATTATTATGAACTAAATGTGACCCTGGACCACAAAACCAATCTTAAGTCGCTGGGGTATATTTTTAGCAATAGCAAACCATACATCAATGGAAAGCTCATTTATTCAGCTTTCAGATGTTGTATAAATTTCAATTTCGAGGGTCACAAATGATTAATAATGGTTTTAAGTATTATATATATATCTATACAGTATATATATATATATATATATATATATATATATATAGACATACACTAATGTTCATATTTCATTAAAAAAGGCCTAGATGATTATATATATAATTTTTAAGTACATTATTTATCATTCCGTCTGTCTGAAATGTTTTATTCTGATTGGAAAATCACGGCAAATAATTTTAATGTCCAATAAAACCGTAATCAGCCATTGGCTCAGGCAACCTTTCATACTTGGCTGTGTTAGTTTCGCATCTGCCTTATCACATGCTCTCTTTCCTCTTTACAGTAAATTATAATCATATTACAGCAGCATTTCTATTTTTCTTTATCTACTGATCTTCCATCTCTAGTGTGATTTGTAGACAAACTGCTCGTTTTCTTGTCTGTACAGGCTCTGCAAGTGGTTTTCATATTCAGCACAGATCTGTGCCTGCCGCAGAATACAGGAGCTGTCACTCGTCACTGCCAAAACCACAGCACATCATTAGACTCAGCCACCGCAACACGCTCGCTTATCCTCATACATTTACACAAATCCCCTCCACACACGCAACTTACTAGAATGTGTGCTGTTATGATTAACTCAACAGGCGGCATGAAATACAAATTCCGCTAATAAAACCAAGAATCTAGGACGGTTTGCATTTTAGGAATCGATCTCTTCTCAAATAGCCCTGTGATTTTTAAGGTGCCCGTACTGCTTCCGTTCCCTGTCTCCAGTAGTGTGTTTTTCCATATCTGTTTTCACGTGAGCTGCACAACTCATTACATTCCTCTCGGATCATCCAATCCCTCCACCCACCAGCACAACCTCTGCACCATTTACTGAATTACAGACAATTTTTCCCCCAGGATTCCCTTTCTATACACACAGTTCTGCCATTTTTGTGTCTTATTTTTCTATTTAAGACATGTTTATCACATTGATGTCTAGTCTGTAACATTCATTCGGATTCTGTCCATGCATGAGCCGCTTCACTGCAGCATAACTGAGCTTCCACATGCACCGTAAGCTTGTCTAAAGCAGCCATTGATTCACGGAGCATCCGCTCACACCAGACAGGCTGAAGTCATGAGACGCGATACAGAAAAAGCCACAGTTTCGTTTGCTTTTGGAGCCAATAGCAATGTTGGCACTGGGTTTGCACAGCCCACGCGAGATTGGTGCGGCGGGTTTAGCCGTTGGCTGCTATCACAGAGCAGATATCAGGGTGGCTCTCTGGCTTTCTCAGGGGGCGAGTCATGTGCATCAGGCACGCCGAGGATGTTGTGTCCACGGATAGGCGTTGCCCATGGACACGTCTCCTGCAGTTCGCTCTCTCAGAGTGACTCCAGCCTAGAGAGAACCTCAGGGAACGGATTAAACAGAACAGCTAATTATGAGCAGTACAGGCAGTAGTCAGGAGGGATTCGGGATGATGTTTGCATGCGGTTTAGTTTCGTAAAATATTTTATACCTTACTTCCGGTTTTCAAATCAATTGTAAATTATCATTAAAAAAACTAAATCAAAACAAAAGCACGCACATCACTAGAAAAACTCTCAAACAGGGTGCTCGACAAAAATATTGATAATAAAATTCAATCTCATGCCTGCATGCTTGTAACGTCACTTATGTGATAGTCTGTTATTCAAGTTTTGTATTTTTGGAGTCTAGGTGTGCCAACATTTTTCTATTTTTAAATGATCATTAAAAGCAATACATTTAGGCAATATGGATCTATAGATGTTTTAATATTTCCTGGCGGTGAGAAACTGCAGAAATCGTGTGGTACAATTCTATAATATTTTACTATTTCCTATGAATAACATTCTACAATTCTATATAAATTCAATTTAAATTTAAAAATAAATATTAAATGAAATATTGGCAGAATAAAGTATAATTCTATAAATATACATTTCAGGATTTGGGATGATGTTTGCATTCATTTTAGTTTTGTAAACTGCTTTATGAATTATAACGTGCTCTTTAGTTCCTATTTTCCTTTAGGTTGAAATGAATGAATGAATGAGGCATTTATATAGCACTTTCATTGTGTATTGCTGCACACATTATCATTCAATGCAATGCATTTTAGTCTGTATGGATATTAAATGTTTTAATATTTCCTGGCTGTCAGAAATTGCATAAATGTGGTATTTTTCTATAATATTTTATGTTTTGATT